CTCTTTCTTGATATTGTCAATTGATATACATATGGCACTTAACAATTAAACTTTAAGATAATCATTATTCAAACACTTATTTATGAAAATTCTATTGTGGATTTCAATTTTTCAAATAATTTAATATTAATTTTTAGAATTTTTCTTCGAATAAATTTGACAACATATCAAATTGAATACTTGTTTTGTAGAAAGTTCTCGATCTTCTGTAGATTCTAGTTATGATTAATTATTAAATTACAAAAATAAAAGCTTATCAAATGTCTTGTAGATTCTAGATTATAGCATATGCCATTTTCTTTAATACCATCATCACTTGCACTTCTAAACCATATTTGCACAGTAGAAAAGAAAATGGGCCTACATATAAAGATATTTTGATAGGATTGCTCGTATGTTTCTTTGTTTTAATCACTAAATCATTCACATCTGTAAATCGTATTTTGATAAAAAAAAGAAGAAATCGGATTATATATTAAAGTTTTTTTATCTTGTTGTTATTGTTTTTCTTTGTTTCAGTTGCATTGTCAAAACGTTTTACAAATTATATATTGAAAACCAAAGAAAATGGTACACGCATGTCAACGTATTAATGTTGCTGCTATTATTTTCATTTGGTTTGCTTCTACGTTCTTGGTAGAATGTTTGACTTTAAACATTGTTAGTCGAACGTCAACGAGTGAGCTGAACAATTCTTCTGCTCCGATACCTTGTTCATCTCTAAATGTGTCCGCACTGCGAGTGTTGACATTTGATTTATTTGGCGCATTGATGTTGACGGACTCTTCAATAAATCAGAACATCGCTTCTCTTCTCCCATCATTGTCATCGTCGGATGTTGAGAAATTTACGGATGATTGGCTTAATGCATATGGCTCATTTTTTGGAAAATCATTTCCAACATCGGTGACACATCAGCCTTTTCTATGGGTTATTCGTTCATCATTATTGAAAATCTTAGATTCATTTGATTTATCAAATATGGTACCCGAAGGCAGTGCTACTTTCAATGCGTTGATGTCCGCATGGGGAAATCTACAACCACGTGTTGGTGTTACAGAAGTTCTCACTAAATTGAGCAGAAAATATCAATTAGGATTGCTTTCCAACGGTGATAAAGGTACATTGCAAGCAGCCCTACGTGTCTTTCCATCGTCGGTGAATATTTCATTAATATTATCATCAGATTATCCAGTCAATTGTTTCAAACCATGTCCATCAATGTATGCTCAAGCACTAGCTGTAGTGAATGGTGATAGGACTCAAGTTCTCCATGTAGCTGGTTCAGCGTTCGATGCGCAGGGTGCACGTACTTTTGGGATTTTTTCAGGTGTATTAGACAGTTCAGCAATACATACTAATCCTCAACCATGCTTCGCTTTTGATGATATATCAAAGTTGCTTTCATTCTTTGATATTTAAAAGAAAGAATAATGTGCTAGTGTACTTTCACTAGAGTGACACTCGGATTAATTGAAATATAAAGTAATTCTTTTGATTGAAATAATCACTATTTCTAAACCGCTGCTCGATCAACATTTCCGCATATTTGTCTAAGATACCTAACCGGTTCATAGAATTGACAAGTGTTCACCCAGATCTGATCTCTCGGCCTATCGCAAAAGTATTATTCCGAAGAATCGATCTGAGACTTCGATGCTTTTGAATGGCTTATCTAAGATGATTCACAATGAGTTCCAATGGATGAAATTTATAGTTTGAGTGTGGGTGTGAATTGTTTTATCTCACACACTACACACCCACACCCATAGTTTTATTACACCGTTGTTCACAAATAATGGTTTCTATGTGAGTGAGTCAGCCGTCGACGAACTTTACTTCTGAGAGGCAATCCTTTTAGTATTCATTTCATTCAAGATGCAAGTCTTTTTTTCTTTCTGTTTTTGGTTATTTTTTGTCTCTTAAGAAAAAGAAAACATGTTTCATTTGCCTTTTCTCTTTCTTTTATTTTCACAACTTGTTACTTTTCATAGCATGTTTTACGTACGTAGCAACAAAACAAAATTTTCATCGAATGACGAGTAAGAAATTTGTGTATGGATATAGCTGAATCTATTGAAGTTGCTCGTCCTCTGTTACATTGATGAAAGAGATCAGCAGTTAACAATTGATCTCTAAACGATAAGTTTAAGTTTTTCTACTTAACATTTGAGTTAAATAAAATTAAGTTTAAATGATTGTGTCACATGAATACTATTTTGTTTCGAGTTTTTCTCTACTCCAATGAGAACTGAACATGATGTCGTTCAATCTGTTTGAGAGGAAAATAGTACTCTACATCCTGGACTATCCAGACAACGCTATGTTTTGTCTAGACAAAGTGAAGAAAACTCTGACTCAGATCTGATTATTCATGAACTTTTTTGTTACAATCAATCAGATTTGAGCAAGATTTCTTTTTTTCCAATATTGTCAATAGAAAGTAGAGATGGTGTTTTAAATGAGTTAAGTAAAATAATGTTCAGTTTTCTTTCAAGTAGAGAAAGACTAAAGATTTAATAGTTTTCATCTAACTCAATCATTTAAACTTAATTTTGTGTGAATTCATTATTAAATAGAAAAATTTAAATTTAGCAATGAGTATTAAGTGATTCTTTTACATACAATATTAAGAAATTAACTAGTGATTATTGATTTTTCTTTTTATTAATATTACGTGTTAAATAAAGCCAATTAATATTTTATTCAATTGAATCTCGTCTCTTGGCTAACATCTGTATGTCCCTCGAAGGGAACATGACAGCTATTTGAAAAAAATGATTGATAAAATGAATTCGAGAAAAGCTGCGAACATTTTGAGTCAAGCCGAATCAACATCGATTCATTTGTACACAACACAGTCAATTATGCGTGAGAATAGTTTCTATACAAATATGAGCCAAAAACTTGCCTTGTTTAACCTGAAACAAAAATTGATCATATTGTTGATTTTGAATATTGTTTCTCACAATTTTCTTTAAACTATCGGAGCTAACCAATATTTTTCACATCACAAGATGACAGGGTATATGTGTATTTCCTAAATTAACTGGGACACTCACACCCTTCATTTATTTGTTAGAAAATAGTTTGATTATAGCTAACAGACCTTGAATAGACAAGTATTGGAAGCCGTTACTTTTTTCTTCTTACTTTCAGTTATGATAATCATAAAAATAAAATGTTAATCAAGTATTTATAAATTATGATAGAACTTAAAATTCTCCATCATCTGTTTTTTTTGTCTTGCTTTGTATTTATGGACTCTAACCAACCAATCAATGCATGGCAGTAGATAAAAATGTTGAATGAAAGAAAACTTCATGCGATATCAAAATATTTAATTTTTATACAACAATGAAAATTTTCAAAATAAACTTATTTCGAAATCGAGTTTGTGAGATTCTTTTGATCGAAATATTTCCAGTAGATGTGATTTATTTTCTAAAGAATGTTGGAGAAGTCGTTCTAAACTTCCCATTTTATTCATAACTTTTCCAATATTGTTGCAGAATTTACCGTCAAATTAAGAGATCCTTCATGAAAATATACGAGACAGTTTTTAAAACTATGTTTGTTATCACAATGAATAAAAATTGAAGTTTTATTTGAAAAAACCTTCTCTAATTATTTTCAACAATTTTCGATTGTTGTCTCATTTAGGAATATTACGAAAATCATTATTTTATTTTATTTTATTTTTATAAATATTCAAATGAATTCATTTTAGATCGATAAAGTTACATAATAAATAAAATAATTCGGAGATGGCAACAATAAATGAATTAAATTTTTGTTCAGCATGCAACAAGACTCAGGCAAAATCCATTTGTGCTGGATGTAAAAAATATTTTTGTCGAAAGGATTTCAAAGAACATGAACAACAATTATCGATAAAATTTGATAATGATATAGTGAGATCACATGATGAACTTCTTGAACAAATGCAAAAATTAGAAAAATCAAATTATTTATCATTGGATCTTTTTGATCAAATTGAACAATGGAAAAAAACAGCAATAAAAAAAGTTGAAAAAGCAGCAGACAAAGTTCATCATGAATTGATTGAATTAATTGATAAACAACGTATGATAATGACAAAACAACTTGAACCAATTACAAGAGAAATTCGTTCTCTTCGAAAAGAAGAAAATTTTGCTGAAGATGATATTAATCGACTTAGAAAAAAAATCAATGAAATTCAACAAAAACTTAAACAATTTATTGAAAAAGATACAAATAAAAGTATCATTATTGATAATAATCAAATTGATTGGAATCATCTTATCTGTATTCGAGAAATACAACCAAGATGTAAGTATTTTGAAGTAGAGAGATAGAGAAAAGATATTGTTCCATCGATTCAGTCTCATTTTCTCTTTTCATTTATCGATCGAAACTAATTCACTCATACAAACGAGAATTATTTTGAGAAACATAATGTTCTAGAAAATTTTATAAAATTTCATTCGCAACTTATATTTATGATAAACATGTACATAGCGAAACTTATATATATATTCTACTAAAGGCTGACTTGAAAATGATCTAACACTGATTTTCATAGTACATAGATCAGGATGAGTTTTGATAGAAACTCTAAGCGTTTAACAAAATCTATTTGAATTGAATTTTTTCATTTCTTTTGTCATAAATTGACAATAACTTCGGATATGGCTGTGGATATTTTGTGTTTTCTGTAACGCATCCACATCTTCGTCTAAAAAAATGTGCAACTCATAGTCTATGTTAATCACTACCTGTATAAATTTATCAAATCTTTCTGTTGCAATGAACGCTGACTTAGATGCAATCACAAATAGATTGCAATGAAATTTTTACAAAAAAAAACAAATACTGATTGACTCATATGTACTTTTGAGTGTTAAAATATCTAGATGATTTCGATTGTGTGATTGATTTTGCTCTGAAACTAAACAATGATGATGATGATGATAACAATCGCTATAGACGATCGTATACTTTAGAGTTTTTCCTAATTTGTGGTGCCTGCAATCAGGAAATTTTCATTTTTTCCCAGAATAAAACAAAATAGAGGAAAATTTCAATGAGAATTTTTATTGATGATAATTGAATGGTTCGAAGAAGAATAAGACATTTTCTTTCGCTTGAATTTTGACGAGAGTAACACGGAATAGAATATCTCACATTCTCGTCCTATACGAAGCTTCCACGTCTCCTACTGTTTTTGGCGACTCCTGTCTTTGCTTCGAATCAGCTCCTAAAACAAAAATGAAACTCTTGTATTGCAGATATTTCAACAGCGACTACAGATAATATATCTGATTCAAGAAGAAGATCCTTCAGTGCAATTCGAGTAATTTAAAAAATATCGAAGTGTTCTTACCTTAGTGCATAACTATATATTTTGTTCATAGAACGGATCAATTTCAACAACAGCTGCCAGTACTGAAAATGATCGATTCAGCCGAAGGGTCAGACAATAAACATTTTAAAAAACAGATATTCGTGAAATATCTCATACTTTTAGGCATCAACAATGAGCATCAGTGTTCGTGCAACTAGAGGTAGGATATTATTAATGAGCACTTTAGTAGTAATAAGAATGATTCATGATGTCACTAGTTGGATATCTGTAGACAGAATGATATTTTCATTCTTGAGATTTCGTGCACAAAATTTTGGGTTTGGTCTTAAACTATCCAAATCTTATGAAGATCTGTTAGATAAAGTATTAGAAAGGGACAAAAAGTCCTAAGCGTTAAAAAATTGATATGAAATAGTTTGAATTCGGATTTGGTATTGAAGATTTGGATTGAAACCAAATCCTGAATTCAAACAATAGCTGCAATCTTGTTACCAGAATCTGAATGAAATGTAAATTCAGAAAATAAACTCAATCCAAATCTCAAATTTATACAGGATTTGTTGTAGCTCTATGACTCGCGAAAATGAATTTTAAAAGCAAATGCAATTACACAACGCTCATAATTTGATTGGACATTAAATAAAATTTGAAAAAAAAACCATGTATTTGCGATCATTTTATCATCGAATGATGACTGGACGTATGTCTGATACGTCCTAGGATAGTGAATAACAGAATTCTCTTGAGTCTCACTCGGCGTAGAAATGTGTTTATGATGTTTCTGTTGCGTTAAAAAAAGAATCATATTGTTTACGGAGATTGTTGATGTTTGATTGTCAACTGTTTCTAAATCATGTCTACAGAACAAGTTTTCTCATAACTTATAATAACGTTTTGGAATGTGAAACAAAAGAAGTTAGAATAGACGGATCTATATATCGATTGTTTTTTTCTTGTTGACTAGAGCCAATAAACGTCTGTTTCGTATCTCACTCTTTTCCATCCAATTCTTAGTGACCAACTCAAGACTTACGCCATATTGTTTTCATTGTCATATTGTTTCTTGTTTCATTGATTATTTTAGTACTCGAAAAGATTTCAGGATGTTGTATTTCATGCTAATGTTTTCTCAGTTGTATCACTTCTGCTAGGAGCAGATAGTGAGAATCCTCGATCTTTAATGAAAATTAGTTTCGATAGATGTAGATCAACGATACAATATTCGACAAGAAAAAATATATATTAGTTTACAGCGTAGATTGAGATCATGGTTTATTCAGAATGTATCTTATAGATTGTATGGCATCGACTTTGTCTTTAATCTCTCGATCATTCGTTGATAGGGTGTGGCTGTGGACAGGGCTGTCGCGAGTGGCGGGACGAGGGAGGTCACCTCCAATCTTGAAAAAATTTTGTTTTTTTCCAGCAAAATTTCAGCATTTTATTCGTTATTTTTGCTCGCCGATTCTGAAAAAATTGGGCGACCACTCAAATTTTGAGGACCTCGCGACATCCATGGCTGCAGGCATGTTTGTTTGAATGAGATGGCGTTTACTGGTTTTATAGCGCTAGCAAAAAATGTTTTTCTCTTTTTCAAAATAGAAACTCGAAAATGACGAGATATTTGTTTGTTCTTTTGTAGATTTATCCTCGCATAGTATAGGCGAGGTACAAGAATTGTTTGTTCAGGATCTTTCCGTAAGTCGTAATAACCTTTTTTTTTCTTTTTATGCACTTGCGATTCGTTTTTTTTTATTGCTAAAAAATTTAATTCTAAAGTAAAATAGGATCAAGAAGATGTGCATCAACACACTGAAAAATTGAAAAATGAACTAGCTAAAAGAAAAAATGAATCAAAAAAAAATCAAAAAATCGTTCAAACACAACAAAGAATGTCGATGGCACAAAATTCATATTATTATACGGTACAAAAAGCGTTGAATAAATCGTTCGATTTCTAATAAATATTAAATGAATTTTCTTGGTTTTTTTAGTGTGCAATTTGTGGAAATGCATTTTTAACTAATGCTTATCTGCAAGCACATATGCATCGTCGTCATCCAAACTATGAGTGAAATAAATGATGTAAACATGACATTGATGTTTCAAAAGAAACTCAATGTCTTAAAAATGAGTTAAACAAAAAGGAGGGTATGGGTGTAGGTGTGTGATGATGAAGTTGAAACGTCCGCACATACACCCAGGTCCCCAAAGTTTTTGAATGATATTAATAATAATGTTTTCTGTTTTTCATGTTGTGTGATTTCTTTCTCAGTAAACATTTGTTCAATATCATGTGACAGGATACAGGTGTGGTTGTGGGCTATGATTGTGAATGTGTTGATGAGGGATGCATAATCAGTAAACATCGAAGCCAACACACGACTCAATCCGGCACTGGTACCACCGACATGTGATTTTATATATCTGCAGTGTCCACACTATTGAGGTCAATTTGTGGAGAAAGATCCTATCTTGAAATTGCTCTTCTTTGAATGGCCGCTTGAGAACACACTCAAAGTTGCACCCAGAGTCATCCACAACATAAAAACAACACATCAACATCGACACTTTTAAAAATCCTATCGAGTATCGCTTGCTGTTTCTTTAACGCAGAGATGGAACCGGTGTGAAAGGTCAGATGTGGCCGGACCGGCCAGTCAACCAGTAACGAATGGTATGTCCATAATGCACAGTAGTAGAGAAAGAGTAGTTTAGATAGGGAAAATTCGGTTTATCGTGTAACAAACTTGATGTGCCAAGTTGCATCACATGCCTGGTATAGAGATGACGGTGTGGGTGTGTGGATGTGGGTTTGGACGTAGGTAACAGGAGCACCCATACCCACACTCATACACCACATCCATACCCATCCACACTAGAGCCCGTGGGCAAGACCCGAACCCGCTCGGGTCCGGGTCTGAAATTTTTGTTGTGACCGGGTCCGGGTCGCGTCCAGATCTGAAGAAAACTTTGATGCATACAATGTATTATGAATTTTTTCAAAATTTTGTTCGTTTTATGAAGAAAAAAATTGAATGTATTTAGAAAATATACAAAAAAGCAACAAAAGACTTTTTGAATATATTATCGAAACTGATTTATCATCGTGCTTGGATCCCAAAAATTTAAATGACCGGGTCCGGATCGGATCCGGATCCGACATTTTTTAAACAAGCGGGTCCGGTTCCAAAAATCTTGGACCCGACGGGCTCTACTCCACACCCACACCCTGTCTTCAGCAAGTAGTTGAACAGAGTCGTTGGCTTGTTTGGACCTCAAAATCCTACGATACTCTCCTCACTGATTATTTTACTGATTCATAAAATAGTTATCAGATAAGGTACCGTGACACTGTTTAGAATGACGAAGTGTGGGTGTGGGTGTGGGTGGGTGGTGGGTGTGGATGTGGGTGTTGTTTTCTTTTAAGTCACACCCACACCCACACCCACACCCACACCCACACCCACACCCACAC